CGCCCGCCCCCCCCCCCCCCCCCCCCCCCCCCACTGAGCAACTGGTGGTTGACTCTAAGCTTGGTGCACCCTTGCAGGGCGGGAGCAGGGAGCCCTCCCACCCCTGCCCCAGGCCCCAACTGACCTGGGGGTGGGAGGAGTATGTGAAGTCTCCTCCTGCTGCCAGGGGCGCAGGTGCTTAGAGGGAACCACCAGCTGTTCACAACAGCTGGCGGTTCTCTCTGGGGCAGCATGCGCTCCTCCCACCGTCAGGCCAATCAAGGTCTGTGGGCAGGGAAGCACAGAAGTGTCCTGGTCCTGCCCCTTCCACCTGAGGCCTGGCCCCTTCCAGGGCATCTCGGGGCCACTTCAAAAATTTCTGAAGTCACCCCCCCAAATAAAGTTGCGCACTCCTGCTGTATGGATTACTTCAATTCTGCCATTAGCTAATGTTGGAGAGTTAGACTTTGCAACCTTTCTTCTTTTCTCTGTATTTTGTATGTAATATATAGAACACTCTCAAAATCACAGGAGAATTATAATTAAGTATATGATATATATTGCATTTGCAGCGTATTTCAAAGTGAATTGGACTTTAATAACTTTTCTCATCCCCCGCATCCCCTTCACCCTCAGGGGCTCGGCCGTCGCTAAGGGTCCCCTGACCAAGGCAGACCGCGCCATCAGGCAGCTGGTCTGGAAGTGGCTCTACCTCCCCCAAAGGGCCAGCTCGGACATCATCTACATCTCGCACAGGCAAGGGGGTGCCAACGTCCCACACATGGGAGACCTGTGCGATATCGCAACCGTGACCCACGCCTTCCGCCTCCTGACGTGCCCAGACCGCAAAGTGCGGACCATCGCGAACGCCACCCTGAAAGAGACCGTCGGCAAGCGCGCCGCCAGGGCCCCCGCTCCGCAGGACACCATCGCCTTCCTCAACGGTTCCCTTGAGAACGACCTAGGAAGGCAAGGGGGAGAAATGTCCTCCCTCTGGTCCCGCGCCGCCACCTGCCGCCTGGGGAAGAGGATCGGCTGCCGCTGGACCTGGGCAGAGGAACGAGGCGAGATGGGCATCCTGATCCCGCGCGGAAACTCAGACCAGAACACCGTCGTCACGCCGCCCGCCCGTAAGATGCTGGAGAGAGTCCTAAAATCCACCCTCCGCTGCCTCTACGCCGAGAACCTGAAAAAGAAACCAGACCAGGGCAAGGTGTTTGAGGTATCCAGCAAGTGGACCGCCAGCACACGCATCAACTCCGACCAGAACACGGTCGTCATACCGCCCGCCCGGAAACTACTGGAGAGGGTCCTGAAGTCCACCCTCCGCTGCCTCTACGCTGAGAACCTGAAAAAGAAGCCAGACCAGGGCAAGGTTTTCGAGGTATCCAGCAAGTGGACCGCCAGCAACCACTTCCTTTCCGGGAGGAGCTTCACCCGCTTCATCGACTGGCGCTTCGTCCACAGGGCCCGCCTCAACTGCGTCCCCCTCAACGAAGCCGCCCGCTTCGGCAACCGGGACAAGCGCTGCAGACGCTGCGGCTATGAGAACGAGACCCTGCCCCACGTCCTCTGCGGCTGCGAAACACACTCGGGGGCCTGGTTACTGCGCCACAACGCCATCCAGGACCGCGTCGTCAAGGCCCTGCCTCCGACCTTGGGCACCGTCGTGGAGGACTCTGTCGTCCTGGGCACAAACAGCCTCCTCCGACCGGACATCGTCATCACCAACGAGGAGGTGAAAAAGATCATCATGGTGGACGTGTCCGTCCCCTTTGAGAACCAGTCGGCGGCGTTTCAGGCAGCCCGTCTCTGGAAGATCGTCAAATACACACCACTGGCGGACACCCTGAGGGGTTATTCGGGGGGTCGTGGGACCCCCAGAACGAGCTGGTGCTGGAAGCTTACGGCATCGGGAAGAAGTACACCGGCCTCATGAGACAGCTGATGGTCTCAGACACCATCCGGTGGTCCCGTGATATCTACACAGAGCACGTCACGGGCCACCGCCAATATCAGGACACACAGAACAACTGAACCGCACGGGACATCAGGAGGGTTTTTTTGGGGGGGCCTCCAGTCCTCGTCCTTCCCCCCCCTCTTTTTCCCTCCCACGAGACTGAGCTCGTGGCCCACTCCCGGGTGCGGTCCACAACCGTGCCAGAGGACAGGGATGCGGAAGAAGAGGAGCCACGGGACCCGACTGACTCTGAGGACTTTGATACGGAGTCAGGACTTTATCCCATTGGACTTGAGACTTTGAAACCAGACCGCTCTAGGACTTTGATACCGAGTCAGGACTTTATCCCTTTGGACTTTGAGACTTTGAAACCGGACCTTGGTGCTTGGACTGTTTCAACGGGCCTCTGAACTATAACCCCGCTGGCCACAGCGGGACTAAATGGCTGCCCCTTACTATGGGGGTCGACAGGGGCCCCTCCAGGGGCAATTTACCCCCCCCCGAGGGCCCCTCGGCAGCCGTGGCAGCGAGCCCAGAGAGGACAAGGATGCGGCAGAAGAGGAAGCCGAGAGACAAGAAGGACTCAGTGTCACTTGACACCAGGGGAGGGTTTCTTTGGGGGGTGTTGGTTTTTCTACTGCTCCTCCTCTCTCCCCAAGGACTAAGTAAAAAAATCGCTCCCCATCGCTCCAGAGGACAAGTAAGCGGAAGAAGAGGACGCCGAGGGACAAACAAGGTTTAAGGACTCGGTGTCATTGGACACCAGGGGAGGGTTTTTTCTGGGGGGGTTTACCATGTTCCCCCTCCCGCCCCATCATCCTACAGAATTTACATATATTCTGTATTCTCCACGCAAGGGGCACGACTGGCATTCCGGATGATGGGGACACCCCACCAGTGGGTCTCACCCACGGGGTACGCCGGGTATCGCGGAACGGGCCAAGTAACCGGGCTCCCCCGTGCCGGGTACCCCCTCACCCTAACCCCAAAACCTGACCCCGGATGTACTCATTTGCTTGATAACTGCTAACTGTATACTTGCCGTTTGCTTGTCAAACATTTTCTCAATAAATGTCAATTTATTTGCGTGTTGTATTTTCATTGTAGTCTAGTTAATGGAAACTGTCTTTTTAAGAAACCACTAGGCCACTTGATTGTAGAATGTGGTTGAAGAATCCAAAAGTTGTGCAAGAGAGATTGTTGTGTATACTGAGAGAGGAAAATCCCCACTTGTCTATACTCCATTAAGGTCAGAACTTGATCTACTTAAAGGTATCTTTCCAGACCTAATGCTTCCAACTCTCATGATTTTATCATGAGTCCTGTAATAGTCAAGAAGCTGCAGCTCCTGAAGACATGTGAGACCTTCATCTTTAATTTTGTAAAAAATAAATAAATAAAAAGGAAATGGTTAGGTCTCATGGTTGTTGCAGAGGAGAGCATGAAACATAAGTCAAGTGTACCCTGAAGACTCAAAAACCAGCAGACAAATGAAAAGGCTTCAAAGTATATTATTAATTTATAAATCTAATGATTTTTAAACCACTTGTGATTTTGGATGGAGTCAGGAGGAGGGTTTGACCGATGAGTTTTGAATGTTTGGTGCTGGCAATGCTGCAGAAACTAACCCACCTCCTTAAAGATGTAACAAGTAGCATTTACTGGGAGATCAGATGCCTCATGGCATTGCTGATAAACTCCAGAGCTCTTCACGTGTAGATTTATCAGTCTGAAACCCATTCAGCTCTGTACGGAGTAAAAATCTCCCTCCTTCCCCCACCACCATGGCTGTGTGGGATAAGTTTGGTGGATCTCAGCTACAACTACAACATCAAACTCACCACCACACTTTTGCCCTAATTGGCAGCCTCAACTTTAGGGATGTTAAATATCAGATAATTGAATAGTTGAGTAACCTCAAGAATTCTGATCAGTTAGTCGACTATTCTATAGTCCCTAGGGGAGGGGACAGCAGCCAGTGCGCTCTGTATCAGAGGCAGCGGCGCAGGGTGCCAGGCAGGAGCTGGTCTGCAAGGGGAGCCAATTAAAAAAACAGCTTCCCTCATGCACCGCCTGCCTGTTGCCCTGCGCTGTTGCTTCTGATAAAGAGACAGCAGCACAGAGTGGCAGTAGCCCCTGTCTATGGAGGGGTCTGATCTCCCAGACCCAGCATGAACCAGAACTGAGCCAGACTGCCTACCTGCCCAGCTCCTAATACACTTTAAATCCAGAGCCACAGCAGGGGTAGCCTGCTAAACAATTTAGTGGCAATGGGAGGGAGGAGGGAAATGCATGTAGTTTATAGCAGTGTTTCTCAACCTTTTTTTTTTTATAAAGTACCCCCTTTAAAAAAAATTTTTAAAAAAGTACTCCCAGTACCTACAGTTTTCAGACACACAAATTTTTTTCTACCATTGTATCACATTTGTTTAAACAACTTAATCGTAGCTGGATGGGCAAAATTTTGGGGTGTAAAAAGTACAAAAATAATAAAGCGCTGCAAAACTTAAAACAAATTCAGTTTTTTCCAAATTTCAACTGTGTTTT